GGCCAGAGGGACTCGGTCCCGAGAGGAGGGCAGCGGGGCCACGGGGAGGCGGAGGACTTGGATGCGCCGCTGGCCGCGCTCGGAGCGCCGCGCACGAGCGCAGCAGCACCCCGCCGCCTTTGGCACTCCACGGTTTGAGCCAGCCAGCCACCCACCCACCCACCCACCGCTTGGGGGCTGCAGCGTGAGAGAAAGCGGGGACCTCCCCCCCCCCCACCACCACCACCAATGTTCCCTCTAAGCAGTGGCGTCTTGTGAGCAAAAGTCCTCCTGGCCTTCAAGTGGAGAGCCAGCCGTTGGGCTCCGGAGCCCTCCTTCCTGAGCGGAGACTAGACACACATCTGTGGACTGGAGGCCCACAAACGGTGAGCCGGCTCACACTAGCCCAGCTGAGAGGGAACACTGCGGCCCCCAGGGTGGAGGGAGGCGACCTGCTCTGGCCTCTCCCCCAGCAAAGGACCCTCTCTGGCAGGCAGGCCCCGACTCCAGCCCAGCCAGTGAAGGCCCCTCCACACACCTGAAGGGTTTTATCGCTCCCAGAGGAAACGGACCCTTCCTGGCATTCCCGCAAGGCCCTCTGCTCTTACACCATATTCGGTTGTGTTTGCATGCTGAATATTTAATGTTAAGACTTGAACGCTGATGGGCTGCAAGCCTCCTTGGCGGTAAGAAAAGTAGTAGAGAAACACTTTTTTAAAAAAATAAACATGAAATGACCCCCGGAGGGATGCAGCTTTTTGAAATTGCTCCAGAAGATGGTTTTCTTCTTGGACTTTCTTCTGGCCACCTCACAGTAAAGGTGACAGTGGACTCACTCCACACATCATGGGAGAGTCGTCATGATCTTGTCCACTCGCGATGCTCCAGGAGGTGAACAATCCTGTGACAGAGCGCTGTTTGGATCAGAGTCACCGTGATGACACAGCCCCCTGTCTTGATCTTAGTTGACTCAAGAGTAGAGGACCACTGTGACCCGGGGTCTGGTGACAGCCCTGCAGCCAAGAGAGATGGAAGGCTCCCTGTGCCAATGTTCAGAGGTTTCACGGGCGTTCTGAAAGGGATGGGCAGCCTGACAGCCAGCCAGATGAGGAAAACCTGACCCAGCCTCCACTCACCATGTTCATCAGCTTTCCTGCCTTAAGGAGGGAACTTTGTTAACACCCAGGGCCGGTCCGTTAGTGTTACATTTTAGACCGTTGCCTAAGGCGATGGCTCAATGAGGGCGCCATTCTGGCCGGCCTCGTCCCCTCCTCGCCCCGCACAGGAAAGCCTCCCTTGCCAGCTTCTTGCTCTGTCCCCGTCCCTCTTTGCAGCCCCCCAGGCAGAAAGAGGAGGCGGCAGGGCAGGCACGGGGAACAGCCCAGTACCCTGGGAAAGTGCCACTCACCCTGTGCTGCCCTCTTTGGAGTTCCTTTTGCAGCCTGGCACAGGCCTCCTCCCTTGGAGAGATCCTCCCCCCCCCCGCATGCATTTGCAGCTCGGCCCGCCCACTGTGGCTCCAGCGCCTGCCCCACCCCAAATGGGGGGGGGGCGCCAGAATGTATCCTCGCCTAGTAGGTGAACAAACCTGGGGCCGTCACTGTTAACACGGTAGATCTTGTCACTGGAGTGAGAGAATGTTCCTCTGTGCTCAAGCATTGTCTCTACTGCTGAGGGTGGTGAAAGTTCACCAGATATCTTCAGTAGTGCCTTCAGTCCCCCCCCCCCCCCTGCAGTGAACCCCAGTGCTTGGGAGTGTGTGTGTGTGTCTGTGGGGTGGGGTGGGGTGGGGAGGGACTTCTCCCAAGGCAGCCAGGGAGAGAGCCATTCAGTTAACCTTGTGCAGGACTCCAGGGAGGCACCATGGTGGCAGGATCGTGAGCTGGGAGCAGAGGTGTTGTTTTCCCCTCTAGGAAGGACCGATAAGTTCTTGCGGTCACGGTTATTTAAAAGACACAATTATTTATGCAGGCCGTTTCCTTCGGTGCTCCCATCCTTTTGTGTGCGCGTTATGTCCTCAGTCATGCCAGGCCAGGGCTCCTGCTGCCGCAATGAGCTGTCTGTGAGGGACAAGCCGGAGGCCACACAAGGGAGTCCATTCCACTGCTGCTGCTGCTGGAGACAGCTGGAGACAGCTGAGGATAGATGAGGTTGTCCCACTCACGGGACACCCATCAGTTCCTGGATGCAGCCCCTTCAGCAGGAGCAGGCCTCAGGGGGGGGGGTTGCCCCTCGCCTTCTGTGCAGCTTGGTCCTCCTCTTGGCACTCTCCTAAGTGGCCACCAGTGTTCCCTCTAAGCCGAGTTAGTGTGCGCTAGCTCACAGGTTTTTAGCCTCCGGCTCACACATTTTTGTCTCGGCTCAGGAAGGACGGGGCTCCAGAGCCAAGTAATTTATCCAGTAGCCAAATCACTTGCTTACCAGGTTTAATGCCAGAAGCTCACAAAGTAGAATTTTTGCTCACAAGACTCCACAGCTTAGAGGGAGCATCAGTTGGTTGGATGTTACAAGTTAAAACACTTCTATTTCAGTATTTACTGGGTTAATACTGTTTACTAAATCACATGTTTGTTTGCAAATTGCAACCAATAAGTTTAGAGAGCTAGAAAGCCCGGTAACTTCAGATCTAGTTTTGTTGTTCTGATTGGAGACTAGAGTGGCTAGTATTAGCATTTTATGGCTCTTTGTCCTGAGCAAGAAGAAGTTAGTCTCCATTACTCTTCTGCCATGTTCTGTCTAGCTGTAAGGATGTAGGAATATAGCTCTTTGTTATTTTACATCCCGTATACCTTTTCCCCATGCTAGGTTGTAGTAAACTTTCATATTTAAACACACCATGGACTCTGACTCTTTAATACTCTGCTGAATGCTGATTACTCTACTGATTAACTTTAGAAATTAATAAGAATAACCCAACAGTTGCCACTTGGCTTGGCTGAACCAGGTGCATTTTGCAGCCCTGCGAAACGGGTTCCTCCACTTCTGTGGAAATCCTGTCCTCGGCACTTGTTGCATCTGTGAATTCCCTGATGGCGTTTCTCTGCCAGTGACAAGTGGTGGTGGTGGTGGTGGTGGGTGCTTCTTGGCATTTCTCTGAGGTGACCCTCTTGCTCTGCGAAGGAAGCCCCTGGCATGGCATGGCATAGCAGATTTCCCCCCACAACAGGAGAGCAGCGGTCTCATGCTCCCGGAGCTATTAAAAATATTGCACATAGGGAAGAAGCGTGGTGGTTGGTGATCCAGTATTAGGAAATGTGTGGGTGCATCTCCTACAAATGAAGATAGTGGCTTTTGAGGTGGCAGTTTGGGCCCTGGAGAGGTGGAAGGGGGCATTCCCTGCCCCCCCCCCGTGTTTTCCCAACTTCAGCCACTTCCCTGCAAGGTGCTATTTCCCGCATGGGGATGAACACGATAGTGCTGGGAGTTCCTGGAGTTTTTCTTCAGACCTTCAGTATTGCTGTTAAGCCATTTTATAGTACACTTCCATCTCAGTCTTGTATTTAGGAGGCCCCCCTCTCAAAATATCGCCTCGCCAACTGTAGAGGAGGCGTGCCTGCTAGAAACTTCTGTTTCTGGGAAGACTCATCTCCTCTCTTCAAACTGCCTGGTCATAAGACTTCCTCCTAGATTTCTCCAAAGAGTTGCTTCACACATTGGAAGAGGGCAAATTCACCTTTACCATGGACGTACCTCATAACTATATGGGTGTGCACAAAATGCTGAAAGATTTGGAATGACCCTAATAGTAAATTATAGGTAGCACTGATCTAGTGCTTTACTGCACACGCATTACCATATTCTAATCTTTACACTAACCTAATAAAGTAGGTTGCTGATGGGGGGGGGATGGGACAGAGAGATGGGGGGGGCTTGCCACTAGGTGAGTTTGTGGTTTAGGGGGAATTTAAACTTGGAGAGTTCAGTCTCTTGACCCGCTGTATCATGTGAGCTCTCAAAAGCCCACCTTCTTCCACAGCTGTTCCGTTTTTCTGTGGTGAAAACCATTTCCAGGTTTCCAGTGATCTAATTTATTACAGCAAGAGCTAGTAAAACAGTACAATTCTGATATAAGAGAGATTAAAACAGTAATAACATAGGAATAGTATGAAAACATTAACAAGAGAAAACTCTCTTCTGTACTTCTGGGTTTCTCTGCTTGCTGCTGATCAAACCTCTGTTATGTTAAGGATGGTGGGGTTTTTTTAAAAAAAAACAACCTGGACTGTCATGATGGCTTCTCAGTTTGAAACGAAGGGCCTGGTCCAAGCACATGCTGGGAGTTCTTGTTTGGGTCCACTGGTGATTTGCAAAACCTTAATATCTAGTTGTGCAGCTGCCCAGTTCAGATCAGGACTACAGGAGGCTTAATTCCCCCGTGGCCCCAATTCCAGCCAGGGCCCTGCGAGCCTGAAGATTAAAATTGAAAAAATGACATGGAACTCCCAGTGCACATGTGGTTTAGCCCTAAAAAAGCTTGTTGTAAGCTCTCTTTGGCTCCTTGGGACATTTTGCATCTGTGGCAGGGTTGTTGTTAGCATTTCAAACTTTGCATAAAGCTCAGACACAGCCAATGATGTTTGTGCATGTGCGCGTGCACGCACACGCACGGGTAATTTTGTAAAATTTAAAAACTGTTTCTGGTGAGAGGAGCTGCATGCTTGTAGGTGGGTGCTGGGATTCAAACCCCCCATAGTCCCTTCCAGGGCTCTTTTTGTAGAAAAAGCCCAGCAGGAACTCATTAGCATAATAGGCCACACCCAACAACAGAAACCCATTAGCATATTAGGCCACACCCCTGACAGCACAGCTCATTAGCACATTAGGATGCACCCCCACGTTACCAGAAGTGTGCTCATCCAGCCACACCCACCTTTTGCTGCTTATTCTGTTGACCTTGTTTGTTGTCAAAACCCAGGGCCTTTTTTTGTAGCAGGAACTCCTTTGCATGTTAGGCCACACACCCCTAACGTAGCCAATCCTAATGGATTTCTGCTGTTGGGTGTGGCCTATTATGCTAATGGGTTCCTGCTGGGCATGGCCAACTTGGGAGCCAGCCGGAACTCTGTTCCTGTGTGTTCCTGCCCCAAAATAGCTCTGGCTTAGTTTGAGTTACGGTTATACATTTCTTCAATATTTTGCTATTACTGGTTTGGTGACTTGGCTACTCTTTTAATTGTATGTATGTAGGAGAAGCCCGGGCTCTGGCACCAAAAGAGGGATGAGAGCCATTGAGTGGGCAGTGAAGTAAAAACTGCTTCCAGCCCGCAAACAGAGGGTTTTTCTGCCAAGGGTCCCCATGCGCAGCATAGGATTTGAGAAGAGAATTGGGTTGTATGTCTTAGCTGACTGACTCCTGTTCCCTCAGGTGCTCAACCCTTGTTGTGACTTCAGAGAAGTTTGAAGCAATGTGGACAGTTAGGCGACTTTGCCCACTGTTGGTGGCATTGCCCGATAATTCAAGATTTCTGGAAACAGATACTAATGCAAATTGTGAAAATTAATGCTATACACTTACCTGCTTCCCTAGAGTCAGTTGTACTAGAACTAGGATTAATAGATTTGAAGGTTAAAAGTATACGGATGCAGACAGCAATATTGATTGCAGTTGCCAGAATTTCTATTGCACAATTTTGGAAAGCAAAAGAAGCTCCATCGTTATATTGCTGGCAAAATAAACTTTGGGAATATTTTGTGCTTAGCCGAATTTCTACAAATACCTGTGGGGAAAATACAGCAAGTAAACAAAAATTATTTCAAGCAACTTGGTTTCCTATATTAGACTATTTGGCGAACAGTGGTATTGTACCGAAAAATCCTTACTATGAAAAATTGTTACATTTTTAAGTTGCTATATGTTTGTTTCTTTTACACTGTAATTATTTAAAAGATATGATCTTTATTTCTTCTTGTATTAATATGCTCTCCTAAAAATATGTATTGTTATATTTACTGACATAAGGTTAAAATTATTGTGTTTGTTTGTTTGTTTATAAAGAATAAAAAATTATAAATCAAAAAAAGAGAGAGAGAAGTTTGAAGAATGTCCCCTCCCTCCATGGTCGGGGACAGAGGGTGGCGCTTGAGGAGAGGGTTTCACCACGTTACCCTGTGGTATGTGGCATCCCGCAGGGGGCAACCCTCTCCCCAATGTTACTTAACATCGATAGGTTAATCCGTTTGGGCTGGGTTGTCACCAGGACACTGGTGCCACCCAGCTGTATCTGCTGATGGAGGCCGCCCCAGATATTTTGGCGAGGACTGTAGAGACTGGCTGACTGGTTACAACGGAGCCGGCTGAGACTTAATCCAGCGAAGCCTGTTCCTGAGTTAGGGTCGCCAGGTCCCCTTGTCGCTCTGGCGGGGGGATTCGGGGGGGGGGGGCGTTCTGCCCTGTGCCCTGCCCCCAAGCCGCAGCCACCGGCGGCCACCCTCTCCCTCCCCTCCTGCAGGAATGTAAAGGGCTTCAGCTGATTGGTGGGGAGCATGTCGCCCACTGATCATCTGGCGGGCCCTTTAAACCTTCCAGCAGGCAGGGAGAGGGGCTTTCGCTGGCTGCAAGCTCCGCTCACAAAAAAGACCCCTTTTAAAGGGTCTTTTTGTGAGCAGAGTGAGGGTTGCGGTGTGGATTTCCCAGCGGCAGTTTGCCACTTGGGATTCAGGCCCACCCGCTGCCACCCCACTCATGGCGAGCCCCACAGTGAGTGGCACAGTGGTGGCACGCGGGCCTGGATCCCAAGCGGCAGATCACTGCTGGGAAATAAGCCCCGTGCACCAGGGCCCCCACCTTCAAAGGGGTCTTTTTTTTGCGAGCGGAGCTGTGGCCAGCAACAGCCCCTGCCCCTCCTTGCTGAAAGACGTAAAGGGCTCTCCAGCTGATCGACAGCCCACCTGCTCCCCACCGATCAGCTGAAGCCCTTTAAATCTCTGCAGGAGCGGAAGGAAGGGGGTGGCCGTGGGTGGCTTGGGGTGAGGCTTCTCCTGTTGGCCAGAGGTGGATTGGAGCTTCCAGAAGCTGGGGGACCCCCGCTCAGACCTGGGGGGCTGAGTCATGGGGGGATGGGCTCGGGGACCCGACTTCCAACCCTTGGTGAGGTGCCATTGATGCTGGGACCAGTGGTGAAGGGTCTGGGAGTGATCGTGGATGCCTCCCTGTCAGTGGAGGCCCACGCCACCAGTGTTCCCAGATAAGCCTTTCACCGTCTTTGGCGGGTCAGGCAACTGGTTCCCTACCTTTCCTCCCATGACTTGGCGACAGACAGTGATCCACGCAGGGGTCACGTCCAATGTTCCCTCTAAGCTGTGGAGTCTTGTGAGCAAAAATTCTTCTTTGTGAGCCGCTGGCATTAAAGTTGTGAGCCAGCGATGTGGCTGCTGCATACATTAGTTTGCTCTGGAGCCCCATCCTTCCTGAGCTAAGACACAAATCTGTGAGCCGGAGGTTAAAGAACTATGAGCTAGCTCACACTAACTCAGCTTAGAGGGAACACTGGTCACGTCCAGGCTCAGTAACTGCAACTCGCCCTGCATGGGCCTGATCTGGAAGCTTCAGCTGGTACAAAATGCAGCAGCACACCTGCTGATGGGGACGTCTGTGCCTGCGCACATTCAGCCAGTGTTGCGCCAACTGCACTGCTTGCCAGCTGAATGCTGTTTGGAATTTAATGTTGCTGTTTTAATGATTTACAGTTTTATCAGATTGTTTTATTGTCCTGTGATATGATGTAAGCCACCCTGAGCCCGCTTGTGGGGTAGGCGGGACTAAAATCGCAAAAATAAATCAATCAGTGAAATGTGACATCTAAAGACCATTGGAGTGGAGCAATTGCTGAACGTGGGGCAGCTCCCCGTGTCCTCTCGTCCCAGAGTTTGTCCTGGTTGGCTCGCGTGGTGCTACCATCCTCGTTTCATGTCAAAACGATTCTTATTGTGGAAAACCTTGTGTGTCTAACCCTGCAACCCGCTGCAGAATTACACCAGAGAAATTATGCATGGCGTTGCACTCTACGGTTGCACAGTTCGGTCCTTGCTCAGGAGTGCTGTTGCTGTGGTAGAGAATTAAATGCTCTGAGGATGCCTAGGTCACCCCAGTAGTCTGCCTTGACTGTCAGGTGAAGGGTCTTGGGCAGGAAATACAGTGCATGGCACTCTTGTCCTCTTATGGATTGATTGATTGATTGATTTCATTAGATTTTTACCCCGCCCTCCCAGCAAAGCCCGCTCTTCACGCTTTAGTGCTATAGGGACACCTCTGACTTGCCCCATCCCGTAACAAATAGCTGTTCTTTTCTCTGCAGTGGCCGACATGAAGCCCTGGCCGCACCTTGTCTTTGCCCTCTTGACCGTCGAGGCGATCTTCACGGACCCTTGCCAGGGTGCCAAAGTGCTGGCAATACCTACCATCATCTTCGACAGCCACCTGTACATCTTTGTGCGGGTAGCAGAGGCGCTGAAGAGCAGAGGTCACGACGCGGTCCTCCTCCTCGATGAAGGCCGAGCCGTGGAGCCTTGTCTCCATAGCTACAGAATACAGAGGTACAGAGGCGTCTTCAGCCAAGAAAGCTCCGACCACTGGCTACAGGAGAGGCTGAAGCGAGTGTTTGAGGGGAAGAGGACGGCCTTTGAGTTGTTTTCCCTTCTGGAAAAGTACCTGGAGAATTGTGATCTGCTTCTCGGAAATGCCACCCTTCTGCAGCAGCTCCGGAGCGAGGAGTTTGACTTGGTCATGGTTGATCCCAATGAAATGTGTGGCTTCATCGTGGCCCACTTCCTGGGTGTAAAATACGTTGTCCTCTCCACCAGCTTTTGGTTCCCAGCGGAGATCGGAGCCACGTCACCTGTTGCCTATGTCCCTGAATTTAATTCCCAGGTGACTGATCAAATGGGCTTTGTGGGCCGCACTTGGAATCTCCTCGTTTTTCTCATGTCTCGTATAGGGACTAGATTGTTGATCTTGCCCAAGTTTGACCGTTTAATGGCAAAACATGACATTCAGCCACAAAAGTCCATGCTGGAGCTCATCTATGGTACCAGCCTCTTTTTCCTGAGCAACGATGTGGTGATTGACTTTCCTCGGCCCACGCTTCCTCATATTATTTTTGCTGGTGGAATTCTTACGGGGCCTGCAAAACCCCTTCCAGTGGTAAGTGCTCAAACCAAATGTTGTTGTATGTTTGTGCTTGATTGTGCTCACTCATCTGATATATGTAATTGCCCTAACGCGTTGGCCATTTCCAGCTCTCCCACTGGCTGTGCTGTGCACTCCATCAGCCATTGGCCCATCAACCGCCACTCAAGAGTACTCATGTGCCATTGGCTGGGGGCTGGGTCCACTCCTCTCACAGAATAAACTGCCAAATCGACTGTCTCTCCTAACGAAGACACTTCTGCTTGGCTCCTATGGGATTAACCTTTCCTTCAGTGGTTGTTGCTAAGCAACCAAGCTTGGTTCTGTCAGTAAAAAGGGAAAGGCAGGCAGCCCATTCCACGCCTTCTTTAGCCTTTGTGATGAACTCATTGGGGCCAGTCCTGACTAGGGTCGCCAGCTCCAGGTTGGGAAATTCCTGGATATTTTATGGTGGAGTCTATGGAAGCCAGAGTTTGGGGAGGGGAGAGGAATAGAATGCCATAGAGCCCATCCTCCAAAACAGTTATTTTCTCCAGGGGGAAGAGATCTGTTGCCTGGAGTTCAGTTGTGATACCCAGCGATCTTCAGGCTCTACCTAGAGCTTGGCTACCCTAGGGGTAGCAGTTAGTGCTTCAGAGCAGGGTCTGCCAGACTCAGGTTCTTGCTGTAGACGTTGAGTGGGTGATTTCAGACCAATCACAGGCTTTCAGCTTAACCCACCTCACAGGGTTGTTGTGCAGATCAAAAGGGGGAGAGGAGAATGATGGAAACTGCTTTGGTCCTCACTGCGGAAAAAGACTGTACTTTTCCTCCTAGGGAACCATTGCTGCCAATCTCCAGGTGAGGGCTGGAGATCACTAAGATTTGAGGAGTTTGAGGAGGGGGTGGGTTCTCAGACAGGTACAGTGCCATAGACTCTATCCTCCAAACCAGCCATGTCCTCCTGGGAGACCATTGCTGCCATTCTTCAGGTGAGGGCTGGAGATCACTCAAATTTAAAACTGCTCTCCAGATGGCAAAGATCAGTTCCCCTGGAGAAAATGGCTGCTTTGCAGGGTGGACTCTGAGTCATTATCCTCTGCTGAGGTCGCTTCTCCTCCTGCTTGGGTCTCCACTGAGGAGGAGACAGACTGTACTTTTCCTCCTAGGGAACCATTGCTGCCAATCTCCGGGTGAGGGCTGGAGATCACTAAGATTTGAGGAGTTTGAGGAGGGGGTGGGTTCTCAGACAGGTACAGTGCCATAGACTCTATCCTCCAAACCAGCCATGTCCTCCTGGGAGACCATTGCTGCCATTCTTCAGGTGAGGGCTGGAGATCACTAAGATTTGAGGAGTTTGAGGAGGGGGTGGGTTCTCAGACAGGTACAGTGCCATAGACTCTATCCTCCAAACCAGCCATTTCCTCTGCTTCCGTGGCGGAGCAGCATGGGTTGCTGATGACTGCGGGATGCTTCCCAGATGTTGCTGTCTGATCACGCTCTTTAGATCCGTCGGCCATTCGCACCTATGTTGGATCTCCTGGCGCGTGGGATCACAGCCACAGAGTCTCAAAGGCTGCCAATTCCCCCAGGAGAACTGATCTCTAGTCTGGAGAATTCAAGGGAAACTCCTGGCCCCAGAGAGTTTTACCACAGAATCTCCAGTGATTCTTAGACCTGCCTGACATCCCTTCCAGGTTTTCCCTGGAAGTGATGTCACAGAATGTATGTTCAACGTTATGCCCCCATGTCCCCACTGTGGACACGCCCACCAGTTGCCTATGCAACACAAATCTGTACTCAGTACAGATCACTGTTCCTTAGGGTTGCCAATCTCCAGGTGGCACCTGGAGATCTCCTGCTATTACATTTGATCTCCAGATGGCCAAAATGAGTTGAAAAACCTTGAAAAAATGGCTGCATTGGAGGGTGGACTCTATGGCATTATACCCTGACTAAGGTCCCTCCCCTCCCCAAACTCCACCTATCCCAGGCTCCACCCCCCCCCCAAATCTCCAGAGTCTCTTTCTAGAGCTTGTTGTATTTATTTCCACAACGGACCTTATTCCTAGTTAATAGATGTTTTTCTCAGCCCCACCGACCTCCCAGGGTGTCTGTTGTGGGGAGGAGGAGGGAAAGGAGATTGTAAGCCTCTCTGATACTCCTTCGGGTAGTGAAGGGCGGGGTATAAATCCAATCTCCTCCTCCTCCTCCTCCTCCTCCTTCTTCAAGGAGCACCTGCTTGATGAGATTCATCCCTAAGTACCTCCCTGGGAAACTCAAATGCAGGAGAATACAGACAGCAGTTCTGTTTCTACAGTGATGTAATAGGTTTTACCAACATTTATATCTGGTTTCAGTCCTGGTTATGGGACTGAAAGAGCCGTGGTTGCCCTGGTGGATGGCCTGCACTGGGAGACAGACAGAGAACGTGTTATTCCGTTGATTCTCCTGGATCTCTCAGCAGCTTTCCCTGCTATTGATCGTGGCGTCCTTCTGGAGCACCTTTCCAGGCTGGGACTGGGAGGCCCTGTTTTGCAGTGATACCTGAAGGGTGGGCTTAAGGAAATGGTGCTGGGGGACTGTGGCTCTGCTGTGTGGCTTCTGGGGGTCCCGCAGGGTTCCATCTAAGGGCTATATGCACTTCAGCATCTAGATGAAACCACTGTGTGAGGCCATCCGGAGGTTTGAGCTGCGTCGTCACCAATATGCAGGAGGCCCTGAGCTTTCTCTTGCACTTCCAGCCAATCCCAGGGAGGCTGTAGAAATCCTGAACTTGTGCCTGGAGGCCCTTTTGGAGTGGATGCGGGCTAATAAACCAAAGCTTAATCCCAGTAGGGCAGAAGTGTTGCTGGTGAGAGGAAGGTCTGGCCCAGGATTGAAGGTGTCACCTATTCTGGATGGAGTTGCACTCACCTGGAAGGAACAGGTCCATACTCTGGGGGTAGCCTTGCATGCATTTGGCTTTGGTTTTACTTGTCTTAATGATGGTTGTGTGTGGTGCTTTTAATGTATTTTAAGATGTCTTGTTGGGTATGTTTTTATTCTGTCAGCCACCTTGGTGGCCCTTATGAGGGCAGAAAGGTAGAGTATAAATCTTATGAATAAATTAATAATAAATACATCTCAAGTTGCACCAGGCCCCCATCCCTCTTCCTGTGGAATTCCCAAACTTGGCCTTTCCCCCCTACTGCATGTACCCAGGAGGGTCTATTGCCGTTTCCCCCAGCCGTCACCAACATGCCTCTGTGACAACCTACCTGGGAAGCAAAACCACCAGAGAGCAGACAGCAGTCAATAAAGAGGCATTGTGGATAGATGTGCCCTGCTTGATCATAGGCATAGCACACCACTTGGAATTGAAGAAGAGGAAGAGAAGAAGAGATTGGATTTATACCCCACCCTTCACTTGGAGTCTCAGAGCAGCTTACAATCTCCTTTCCCTTCCCCTCCCCACGACAGACACCCTGTGAGGTAGGTGAGGCTGAGAGAGCTCTGAGAGAACTGCTCTCAGGGAACTTTGACTGACCCAAGGTCACCCAGCAGCTGCATGTGGAGGAGTGGGGAATCAAACCTGGTTCTCCCAGACTAGAGTCCACTGCTCTTAACCACGACACCAAACTGGCTCTGAGTCAGTTGGATATCTCCCCCTTGGTCATAGGCAGGGCCTCAGGTGTAGGGCCAGGGTCCTGGTGATATAGGGCTGTTTGGACAGGCCCCAACTCCCTCCTCGAAGGGATCTTTTCAGCAAATCTCCAGGTCTCTCCATCAATCAGTGTTGCTCCACCAGCTGGCCAGACTTTCAGTCAGTTGTCGTTCCCTCCGTTACCTTTCCATATCATTAACAAAAGAATAAGATGGTGTCTTCACTGTGACAAATTCTTCCATTGTGTGGATAGCATCTTCTTGGGGCCAAAGTCGACAGGGTATTCTTTGACAAATTGAGTTGTGGTTCTCCTCTGCTGGGAGCTAATTTCCCAGGCAGATTTCCCTATTCAGATTGGGGCCTCGGGGCTTGTGGAGAAGGCTTCGGCCTCCTTCCCCTCCCGACCCAAAACCCCAGCGGGCCAAGAATGCTTCCTGGGTCTGTTTTGGGTCAAGAAAATGGCTCTGAGGGAAACCTGAAGGCCTTTCTCCACTCTGCCACAGTCTCAATCCGAACTGGGGTCCTTGTGGCCCTTGGGGAATTTCCAGCCGCTGCAATCTGACGGGAGAAAAGGAGAGTCAAGTTGGGGGAGCACCCAGCCCACTCAAAGACATCACATCTCATTTGGCCCTTTGTGACAGCTGGGAACAGGGGAAAGGCCTCCATTTGTGGGCTGTGGGGATAATGCCACAATTTTCTGATGAGCCAGTTCTCCAGCTTGTCCCATCGTCGGTGAAACTGGCTTCAGTCCTTGGAGTCAAGTGGCTTGTAGCTTCTGGCCTAGGATGTGGGGTTCCGTCTCCTTGAAGAAAAAATGTAACTCCTGAAAACATCAGTAGTTTCCTTGCTTATGTTAAAGATGCTCAGGATAGCTGAGCCGTGCGTAGTTACCTGCTGTGTTTTTTTTTTTTTTTAGGTGTATCAACTGTTCCCTGAGTGGGCCCAGTAAGATTTGTGGCCCACTGACTGTCATGTTAACCCTTTGTGACGTATTACTGTAGACCTTCAGGTTGTCAGAAGACTCTTTTAGTCTCTTCTGTTGTCTTCACTCATCAATCCATCTCTCCTTTCCCCTTTGGCTGTGTACATGCTATTTTGTGTATACGCTAACAAACGGAGGAGTTAATTAAGTATTTAAAGCCGTAATGATTTAGAACAGTTAAGCAAGAATTGTGGTGCTTGCAGGACAGTCTGCCCCAGAACCAGACGGTGCCAGAGCACAAGGCAGCTCACAACAGAGGCAGAGGGTTTTATAGTAATCCTGAATCTTTTCATGTATTCATTTAGAAGGTCTTTGTGTCACCCGGAAAACTGCCTGAAGTGCTTCTGACGGATGCCGTGAGGATCTCTGCTTGTGTGTGCGCAGCTGTTTCACACACAATCACAGAGT